TGGGATAATCACTGATAAAATATTAATTGATCGAATACGACACGAGCTTAGTTTAAATGTTTCAGGCGATGGTTATATACAAAAAAAAATGTTTTGAATAGAAACAAGCTATAATTCATACTTTACCACATTCTATCTCCCAGCCAGATTTTTTGTTAGATATAAAAAGCCGCAATGATGTTAATAAATTTTCTAGTTTCAGGATTATTTTTCTTGGTATCTGACGTCCAGATCATTAGAAATTATAATATTAAAAGACCCGAAGTTATTTATTTGTATTTATATTTTAAATAATCATAGTATCAGTAGTAAATATTCATCGGAACAGTATAAAACTGTATCTAAAGAAGAAATATACAACAGCTTACACAAGGCCTCCTACATATGTACATATATTTAATCAAAGGGAGTTCGCGGTAAAGTTGAGACATGTCTAAAAGATACTCCACAATGGTTGGGAATAGCTTCTTTGGGCAACGCATTCTATTACACATAATAAAAAATGAACAGGTTCATCCATTAGTGTCAGGTAGTATATATCCCATTTCTTTGGTTTTTATTTTACATACCTTGTAATCATCTAATTTTACAAAAGCAGTTCTACTTAAGTTGGTTACGAACCATTCATTTTCCTCCTGCGTTGCATCAAATAAATAAGGATTTCTAGTTAAATCGATTTCAACAAAGTGGGCCGACCATTCTACAATTCTTTGATGGCTGTTATAAGTGACACCACAATCCGAGATGTCCAAAACATCTATTTTTGAGCCTAAAACTGCTTCGTTAAGAAAATGTATTCCTGAATTATATTTGTATTAATGAACCACTTATCTATTAGAATATCCTGCGTAATAATTACCTTTGTCTCCAATTTTTGGGTTACTATGGAGTGTTAGCTTTTGAACCTTTATTAAGCTTTCGTTGAAATAAGAGGCAAGCAATTTCGTATCTAAGTGGTTGCATTAGTTCGAATTCGAGGGAATATTTTATATTATCGCTACCCTCTCCCGTTAGGCTACAATTCGCTAAATCTAAATGGTCGAATGAAGACTTAATCTTAAATAATTGTTTCAAATCACATAAATCTAATGATGTCCTTGTTGAACGGTTGAGAATCAATTTTGATAATCTAGTGGAAGTAATTCAGTTAAAGAACCCCTTTTTCGTCTATATTAAAAAATTTACTTTGGAAGCTCTAGCAACATATCGAAATTTTCCCAAGCTGTTTCACTGGAAATGCTAGATAATTGCAAACAGCTGACCTGTTTCAGATTTTTCCATAATGGAGTCCAGTGACACAACGTATCTTTTGTAAAGTGATTATCCGAGATGCGAATAGTTAGGCCAGAATCCATAGGTGCGGTAATCCGATAATTTTTATAGGCTTCGCTTATGGCTGTGTCAAAAGGGGTTTCTTCGCCTAAATTTGTATCTGACAAGTCGATATCTAGGATAGAAGGAATTTTTGTAAGTAATTCTGGCAATCGTTGTAGTATAACTGGTCCTAGAGGGTTGTTCGATAGAATGAGCTTTCTAAGCTTAGAGAAACCCATGATGCTGTCTAAACAATCAGCGGTTAAAAGGTTTCCACTTAAATCTAATTCGGTTATACTCTTGCTTGAATTATATAAAAGCTCTGATAAATCTTCGTCGTCTACATTAGTCGACAGGAATTAGCATTTTTTTTTTTACTTTGTTAGCTACTAAATGACGCATACCCAGGAAATTGGATGACAAGTTTAAGATACTTAATACACCAGAAAGTTGAAAAACTTGTTGAAAAATGTCGATATAATCAGAGATCACTTTTAAAAAGATTATTAGCCAATAGTGAATGGAATAGCTAATAAAATACTTACTTAAATAATTCAGCAATAACTCTGTCTTAGACTGCTCTTCTAATATTTCTTCTAACATTTCTGAAGGACTTATATTTGCCTTGGTGATTACATATTGATAAACTTCTAGTGGACTCTTATAAATGATACCTATAAATACGAATTAGCCTGAGAGTAACTCTATTTGATTTTCCTATTAAAAGGGAGGGGTGGAGGGCTTACGTCTGACGATAGCTTCCATAGCCTGGTTATCTTCTGTCACAACATCCGCTAAAACATCTTCCGGAAAAGCGTCTCGATCATTTGTTTCGATATGACTTATAACAATCTACCATTTAAAGCAGTTAACACGCTGATATGTTTTTCACCATTTTTTTTTTTTTTTTTTTTACCTTCACACCGTAGTCTTCCTCACATTTCAATTGTACGTCATTTATCACTGTTTCAACAAGTTCCGGAAATGCAGCATAGTAGATAGAAAAGTGAACAGGAACTGGTTCTATTTTAATGTTGACATGGATTGTCTATGCAACAAAAGCCAAAGTCAGGACAAAGTTGCAGAAAATGAATAACGAAATACTTACTCCGGACTCGATTTTTATGTTTACAGGAGTTATACGAGACTGATCACCTTCATGATCACCTTCATCGTCCGTTAAACTATCTTTAGGGAGTTTTGCTCGCTGATGGGGCAGGTGAGTAAAGTTAAAAATTATCAGATTGTTCCTTTCCTACCACAATTTGTTCCTCGGTTCGTTTGAGGGTTAGTAGTTCCTTATAGTGGTTGATTTCTGATTGGTTTCCAAAATAGGTATAAATTTTGATAAAAAATTTATATACAGTAATTGTCAGCTGGAGTTTATCCAACTTGCTGACTGCAACAGCGTCGATAAACTCTAACACTTCATTGAAAGCAGCTATATAAGCAGCTTTCCTCTATTCTCGAGAAAGAAAGATCAATATGATTTATACATCAAATTGCACGAATCTGGAAAAAGTTTGTTACCGATTCTTTTAAATTCCACAGAGCTTCCGCCTTATAAAATAAAAGTTGAGCATGTAAACAATGAGAATAATCTACAGCCTCAACGATGGATGATAAACCAGTATCCACGCTTTTTATGATCAGTCGATATGATCCGTGCTCGCTTAAAAACTGAATGTGTTGCAAAAACGATTCAGCGATAGTTGCATTAGAATAGTTGTCATTGATGGAATTATTTAAATCGGCTTGCAAAGACTTCACTTGAACAGCAATTTCATACAATTCTTCCTACAAAGGGACAGTTAATGATAACAGTAAGACAGAACAATTGCGGAATTTACACATCGTTTCTTATATTTTTGATCCAGATCCCTTATTGTATCTTCGTAAATTTGAAAGCACTGATCAAATTCGCTCATAAAAATAAGGTATATGACTGCATAAAGAATAAGCAAAATACCCTTATTTAAAAACAATAACATTGATACCAATCACTCACATTGCTCCTCAAAACAGTAGAATTCATCGTCCCTGAGTCCATGTCTTTTTACGATACGATACTCCTTTCCTTGACAGAACAATACGTTATTAAGCTGATTCATGCGCTTATATAAATTTCCCAACTCCCACCAAGCTGTTTTTTCAGCTACGAAATCGTTTAGCTGAATGGCGATTGCCACTGCCTGCTTTATATTCTCTATTGCTGCCTCAAATGCAGAGATCTTTGATTCCATTACGCCCATATTTAAGTGAGAAGCTTGAGTAAGTTTTAATAGATCATTCGGTTCTGAATCCTCAATATCACTTAAGTCCATTGTATCAATGACCTCCCGTTCCAGTTTATAAAATTGAAGTGCGTTATCAAAATCATCATGTCTACATTCGTCCTGGTTAAGACTTTTCGTAAAATATATATCTCCCAATTGTTTGTATATAGCTTGAAGATTGGATCGGTTGCTCGGTTGCTCGTCTCGTTTATAGATATCGATAGTTAGCAATCCATGCTTTATAGCCAATGGATATTCATCCAATCTAAACAACCTATTAGCGGCACACAATATAATATGCAAAAATAAAATAAAAAGTTACTTTAAATAACATTGACTCATGTTAGTGTAAATTCTTAAAAATAATAGTTAGTTTTTTATGAATCAGCGATATCACACAAGTAACTATACCTTGGTATAAACATATCATCTTGATCGTCCTTCAAAAGCTTGATAGCCTTCTGGCAATATTTGATCATAGTGGGTAGATGGTGTAACACTACTGGATCCTCGAATAGCACCATCTCTGTTGTGTCAATGACGAGTTGGACAGCTTGCTCCTTTTGATCATTGGCAATATGTAATTTATAATTATCGAGGTTCTTTTTTATTACATCTTCCACATTAGAAACATTTGCAAATTCAATCCCAAATGTTACTTTTTTCCCCATGTTGTAAGAAGAAAGTTTAGAGCAGCGAGTCAATTTCAGTGTCATTTAAGTTTTTTTTTTTTTACGGTCACTTGACTCAGCAGAAAATAAAAAAGTCGGGATTCTAACAAATAACTATATACGTTTAACACCAACCGCAAATCCTTAGAGAAACCAATCCTTTCTCATAACGTATAAACTTAGACTTGGCTTGTAAGAGATAGAGTCAGAATTATTAAACGACGAATCGTATCTGATTTATAAACAAGTCGATTAAAACAATGTACCACTGGACATACCACGTAACATTTCAAGCTTAAACACTATGAATAACGATAGTAGTGGGTAATGCTATTATTTCGCCTTGATTTGCTCTTAATATATGGACCAATCAGAAACACTACACAACACAGTTAATACTATATTAGCACTTTAATATCGGCAATCATATTCTGTAAGTCTCTTTGACCTCAGATTCCATTATATTTTCTTAGTTGACAGCTTGTAGTCTGGTGCTCATTTTTTAGGAATTTTTATCTTATATTCTTTATCCTTATTTTAATCTACTGCTTTTTTTTAAAACTTGCCAGTACCAACGGTTAAAAATGTTTTTAAACAAAATGATATCTCTGTTCGCTAATATAGCAGCTAATCTAAAGCAATTCTTGTAAGTTTCAATGAACCATTTATATACAGGTACTTCTCTAATAAATAAACGAAATTCAAGACCTAAGTTTCCTTTAAAAATTCTTGCTTAACTAAAGCCGATGTAATATAGGCATTTGGGTAATTTTGCGGTCTCTGTGACAATAAGCATAAATGCTTTATTTGTTTTTATAAAGCAATCTTTACCAAAAAGATACATCAAAAAAATGTTTGACATTTAGCGAAGCATACATATAACTTCAAAGTATTAGAATGCAAGTGTGTGCAAAGATTACCACATGATATGATAACTTTATTTGGAACATTAATAACGTTAGAACATTTTTATCTGATGATGAAAAAAAACATATCAACTTGGTAACATTGTTTTCTTAGGTGGCTTTTGTGTCGTCCTTCTTTTTTATAGAAGATTTGGTAAAACTGATAATGGCAACATAATAATAAATTATGAATTGAGGCAAAGCTCTTTACCTTGGAGGAGGTTGAAGAGTCATTCAATTTATCTTTTCTTGGCCTAAAAAATGTAAAATAATTTACTTGCTGCTATTGGTTTCAATCTAAACAAACACAAGATAAAACGCTGCACGACAAAAGGTTATTACCACTTGACAGGTTCTATGGTGTATTTGACCTGTCTGCAAACAAAAAATATGAGCAATTTATGACACCGATCGAGTTGTAGATCCCTTTTTTATAAGCAGCCGATACTTACAAAATAATAAGACGAATGCTCTAAATATGCTAACTAACCAAAATGTTTTATTCGGCATCTATGTAGACCATAGGGCTGAAGTGTATTTCAATATGTATTAGGGCAGACAAAGAAAGCCTGGTATCATGTAAATATGCTTTTACATAGAACTTTTACATATTGAATTAACTTGAAAAGGATAAAAAAAAAAAGAACAAAAAAAAATTCTAGATAAAAGTTTTAGAGAAGAAACATGAGACAGGACAGGCCTAGAATTACATATTTATCTTCGACACAATGCTTATGCTTTATAGGAGTGTCAAATGGAAACACTTAAAAATTTAGGAAGACAAACCGAAACTCCCTCTTGTTGTTGGAAATGTTTTGTTAGGAAAGGATGGAGTGAAAATGAAAGGTGCCGCTGGTATAATATGACGTCGTTTAAAATAACAGGAACCGCTGGTGACCTTCTCTTTGGAATTGATGGGTACGAAACTTCGAAAAAAAATTATGGGATGTGGGTTGTGTCAAAGACAATTAAAAATATTTTTGTAAAACATGTGTTACGCTATGGCAACGTGGTACCAATCACATAAAGAATATGTTTAAAGCCTCATTTTTAATTTGAAAAACTTTAGCCAGATCTGGAGTCAACCGTAGAAAAAGTTAGGTAAGTATTGAATCTATATAATTGTCTTATTAAACATGACAGGTTTTTTTTTTTTTTTTTTTTTTTTTTTTTGTCCCGATTTTGTTTAATTTACATTTGCGTTGTCCAAAAAGGGTAGGTTAAGCATTCTAAAATCATTTACAGCCCATGCCAAAGAAAAAAAATTAATCATAGCTCTTCAGAGTAAAGTTTATCAGTCAAATGAAAAGAAACAGGAATTTGTGCCGTTTCATTTTTTGTGTTTGATATGCTTTGATTTAGAAAGAGGATCTAATATATATATTACAGGTCAACAAATACTTCAACGCCACACGATGGCCGAAAAAAAGGATTGGTACCTTAAAAGTTTTAAACGCCTACCAAATATTTTATTTTTACGCATGTCGCGTGTACGACTATAGAATGGCAATGCCAGGCATAAACAAGAAACGCTTACAAGAAACAACTACTAAAATAGAGCGAGGACAATTTGGAACTCCTTGATAAAAAAACATTTTTTTTTTTTTGTAATTATTTGCTTTTACTTTCTTTATAATGACACCAAGCGTTGAGGAAGATTCCAGCTCCTCATTGGACAATACAAGCTATTTTGAAATGGATAAACAATCTGGTAAACTAGTTGTAGGACCCGAAGGAAACACCATACTATGTGATTCACCAGCACCTTCTGAATTACCACCTTATTCGAGTCCTGACGAAGCATCGACTTCCAAAGAAATACTTCGTAAACGACATTCAGTGAATGCTAGTAGACGATCGATATCAACAGAACGTACCAAACCTAGAAGAGTGATTGGTAACTTCACTTTGGTTAATACGCTGGGTTCTGGATCGATGGGAAAAGTACGCCTGGCAGTACATAACATTACAGGTGATAAGGTAAGGACGTTTTGTTTGTATAGAGTACATATTAAAAATAATTTGAAATAGCTTGCAGTTAAAATTGTCCCACGCCGACAACCTAGAGATGGTAAATCTAGTAGGAAGAAGGAAAAAGATGAACACCGCGAAGTGAGGACGATTAGAGAGGCCAGCATCATGTTATTACTTCATCATCCTTATATTGTCAGCCTCAAGGAATTGGTCATATTGGATTCGTATTACTATCTATTTATGGAATATGTAAATGGTGGCCAGCTATTAGATTACATCATTTCTCATGGTAAATTAAAAGAAAAGCAAGCCAGGAGATTTGCTAGACAAATAGTGAGTGCATTAGGTATGTGATTTATTTAAATAAAAAAGGGGCTTTCATTTTTCTCATATCTGTTATTAGACTACTGTCACCGAAATTCAATTGTTCATAGGGATTTAAAGATTGAAAATATCTTGATTTCACAATCTGGCAATATCAAAATTATAGATTTTGGATTGTCCAATCTTTTTTCGCCTCGTTCTTCATTAAATACTTTTTGCGGTTCGCTTTACTTTGCTGCGCCCGAATTATTAAATGCAAAAGCATATACGGGGCCTGAAATAGACGTATGGAGTTTTGGTGTTGTCTTGTACGTGCTTGTATGTGGTAAAGTTCCTTTTGATGATCAAAATATGCCGGCATTACATGAAAAGATTAAAAGGGGTGTGGTTGACTATCCCTCACATTTGAGTACAGGTAACATCTTAATCGTTCTAGGCCAACTACATGGTTTCCTTAAAACTTGTTAATAGATTGCAAAAGCGTCCTATCTCGAATGTTGGTAACAAATCCAGCACATCGCGCCACGGTGTCAGAAGTTATTATTCACCCTTGGATGAATAAAGGCTATGATGCACCGGTTAACAACTATTTGCCAGACAGACCCCCATTGACATTGCCTATTGATATGGACGTGGTTCGAGGTATGACTGGTTTTGAATTTGGAACTGAGGCTGAAATTAAAGATAAATTGGAAAAGATCATCACATCCATTGAATATCAAAAAGCTGCCAAAATTTTGGCAGATCGTACAGCAGAAACACACCGAAACCATCGGCAAGGCCATACTTCAAGATTTTCACCGCATACTAGCAAAAAAGCTTTTGTGTTACCTAATGAAGATCCACAATCAATCCCGGCTGCTTATCATCCTTTAGTCTCGATATATTATTTGGTTAGGGAACGATTAGATCGAGAAAATGAACAAAACTCACCACTAAGTCCAGATACAGCAATATCTTCCAGTTTACGCATACCAGATATAACTTTACCTGAGAACGCACATGCTTCAACAAACATACCGTATGAATCTGTATTTGGAGATGAATCCGTCTCATCTGGTGTTGCGTATGGAAAGAAGGGTAAGGCGACTATTCATGTGGATGAAGATGGGCATATGCTGGAGACACCTAATACGGACACACTTCATGCTATTGAAAACGGCATCAATCGATTGTTTACACGTACTCGATCTAACCAGTCTTCAGAAAACACGGATGAGGGATCTCCGGGAGGACGTGATTCCAATAATGTCCTTCGTCGTTTAAGTCTTGCATTATCTCGTACATCTACAGATAAGGGATCAAGATCACGTAAGTCGAGTGCAACCCATGGAGAAACCACGGTACTATCGTCTACGTCCACCCCCATACAAATCCCTTCACGAGAAAATGATGGCAAATACCTATCCAAATCCTATGTGTCGCCCAAATTCCCCAATTCGAAATACAACTCACAGTATCATCATACTTCTGATCAAAGCCAAAGCTTACAACAGTCAGATTTGGATGTGGCTACGGCTGCTGCTGCTGCTGCTTCCGTCTCGTCGGCAAATACATCCAACAGCAACACCTTCGGAAACAAAATTAGCAAGATATTACCGCGAAGAATGACTTTAGGACAATCCAACATAAATGCCGAAAATCATAATAACTTTTTGAATATGGTACATGGTCATCATCACCATGAAGCTCGGGGCACTTCTAAAAAGTCGCCTACCAAAAACCCATCATTGGTTGTGGATTGTGAAAAGAAAAAAGTGCATGATCATGAACAGTCATTCCCCGCCACTGCAGGTGGATCTTTCCAACAAAAGGGTACGGCCGATGAGAATATTAAACCTGTTTTCTTAAAGGGATTGTTCTCTGTGACTACGACTTCGACAAAGCACCCCTCGGTGATACGTGCAGATCTGATACGTGTATTGGAGCGTATTGGAGTGAAATGGCGAGAAAGTAAAGGACGATTTGAATGTGTTCATATGCCTAGTATTGATTTAAATGTGGTGGTGAATGACGAGTTAGAGGATCAACATTCGTTTTCTTCGGAAGAAGCTACGACAGCTGCAACGAATACGCCTGTAGTGCCAGTACCGGATCTAGTTGTGCGGTTTGAGATATATATAGTTAAGGTGCCATGGTTGTTAGGTATGCATGGCCTACAATTTCGTAGAGTGGGTGGAGATCCATGGCAATACAAAAACATGTGTAGCAAAATATTAACTGAACTAAAACTGTGAAAGATAAAAAGAACACACATATATTCCCCTCCCCAAAAACACAATTGTAAATATGCAATATAAACAAATACATCCTTTTTTTTTATTGTTATTATTATTTGGAAATTAGTTTTTGTACACTTTATTTATTCTTGATCTGACTCTTCTTCCTCCTCCTCCTCTTCATCCTCCTCCTCTAATTTTCTCTTACTACGTCTTTCTTCCATGAATTTATCTACAACAATGGTGTACATTTCATTCTGCAAAGATTTTGTCTTGCTGTAATGTGCATTTAAACGCATTAATTCGGCTTGAAGAGCGTTTACTTGATTTTGTAAAGCAGATGTAGAATCATCCGTCTTTTTTTCAAAGTGTTAATGACTGCTTAAGCTCCTGTACCTTTTTTTTTCAGTTGTTTTACCTTCATATCTCTGATGGTATCCCCGGCTATTTTAACAGGTTCTAATTCGGTCGGGATCGAAGAATAAAGTGGACCTGACTCGACTAATTGTTGATGAGCTGCTAAATCCATGGTGGTGTTTTGAATGACTTGTAAAGTAGCATCACGATGCTCTTCTTCTGATGTAGGCATTGCACGCTTTAATTGTTTCCATGGCATGGGTGTGATGGTTTGAGTGGCAGCGTCAGGATGTAATTCGATGGGTCTCAGGAAACACGCAACGTGACTGACAGGACCTTTATGTGATTCGAATTTACGAAGAGGCTGTCTACTTAAGACATCCCAGACAATACAATTACCATCCTCTGCTCCTGAAATAAGAATTGTGCCGTCAAAGGATAAAGTTAAGGTATTGATTGCGCCTGTATGTCCAGTGAAGACGTGTCCAAGTGTAGGTTGTTTACTTCCTAATGAAGAAGGTGTAGATGATTTGATACCGACGGATTCTACTCTGCTCATACCACCTAAACTTTCTGTAGTGTTGATCTTGTAAGATTGATCCTGGCGACTCTTGTATAAATCTACAGAATAAATTTTATCTTCACAAGCTGCGAAAATTGTGGTTTCGGAAGGATCCATAATGACGCTGGAAACAGCCTTGGGGAATAAAAATGTGGTTAAAAGCTGACCTGTTGCAAGATCCCAGAGCTTCAAATTAACGTTAATAACCAATAATGACAATCTCTGTGTTCTTTTTTTTTTTTACCTTGACTGTATGATCCAAACTGGCGGTACAGACACGAGCACCAGATAATGTACCATTGCCAATAAATATATCAGATACGGGTAATGTATGGTCTGACCATGAATATAATGGGGCGGGACGAGCTGTGATATCCTCATAGCCTTCTGCGCTGACGGGATTTATTAAATGAGCAAGAAGCCATACATTGACAGCAGCATCCTCACTTGCGGTTAATAAGGTTGAATCATCGTTACTGAAGGCGAGACGGGTGATACGGCGATAATGGGCCTCAAAGACACGCATCAAATGACCTGTGGGAATGTGCCAAAGATAGACTTTACCACTGACAGTGGCGGCAGCTAAATATTGACCTTGGTGAGAGGAAGCGACACTGACCATTTTCTCTGCTGTGTTCATTTTGTGCAAGACTTGATCTCTTTGCCATTGGTAAACGTTTAAATTGGCGCGATCGGTTTGTGCAGTTACGATGGAGCCAACTTGGAAACTAGCTCCAGGTTTGGCGACCATAGTAAGGCCACCCTTGGGTGACATGCTCTGCTTGAATGAAAATAAACTAGAGCCGGAACGAATATCCCAAACATATATCGTGTTGTCTGTGTTGGAGGCGGATAATGCTACTTCAGTTGCCATTTTATTAATGTTGTTGAGCGATTGAAAAAGTCTTTTTTCACCCAGAAAAAAAATGCATTAGAACTTCCCTAGTCAGCCACATGGGAAAAGCAGTCCATAAATCATATCTTTATGGCATAATATGTGAAGACGTGTTACTCTCACCGACTGCAAACAAAATCAAGACATATAATAGAGCTCCTCAGACTTTCTTATTTAGGTAGGAAAGAAGAGTTTAACAAGTTTACCGCACAAATAATATACATATAAATGTTACTAGCAGATCCTGCTGAGGTACATGCAAATCTAGCATTTTTAATGAAAAATGCAACGCTATCATTAAGTGCGCCGTGTTTATGTGTATTACTTAAAGCATATATTTATATTTGGTTTTTTAATCCATGTGACAGAACTGCATTGTTACACCCCCTAAAAACAGATCAAGAGTTACTTTATGTCTCACCTCAATTACGCCAGAACTCTCAAATACGAATTAGTTATAAGAATTTATCAATATGCACATATCTTGCTAAGTCAAACTTTACATTACTTTTCTTTTACGCGCGCCATTGACAAAAGGGAGTGATTCGATACACACAGAAAGGGCGGACGTTAAATTACATGAAGGTATTTGCTAATCCATATATTACGGTAAGCTTTAATGTGCGAGTTTTCTACTTTAGACAACTCGAATTCCCTCTGAAATATATACCGAAATTCTTCCTAATATTTGCTGCAAACGATGAAAGAGTATCGATTTCACAAATCGTGCGTTGAGGTATTAATGTACAATGGTATTTACCATACCACGCGCACACGCAAGTACGTAATTCGATTATGAACTAATCATTATCGTGCCCGTAATAAATACTCTATTTGGTAAGGATTGAAAGAGACGAGTAAATAGTTTATGTCAGGTTGCTAATATTAAGTCAAAGCTCATTCAGAAAAAAGAGTTTCCAGACGTTTTTCAATAAAAAAAATCTTGTTGGCCATTCTTAACCCGGTCGAACCTTAATTCAAAAAAAAAATATGTAAGATTTAGAACATTTCATTCTGCATAAACTGATCGATCAAGAAAAATGCATAAAATGGCATCGAAACACCAATTAACATTGACAACAAGGCAGAAGAAGAACCTCAAGAAGAATCTCAAGTATCTATGCTATTAAGACAAAATAAATTAATACATATAACCTTCTGGAGCGTTTAAGTTTTTTCTGCGTTTTTACAAAAGGCAAGATAGCAAGCACATCGGAAAAGAAGCTGAAGTAACTGATAAATTTGACAAACGTAAAGGGGGCATAGCTTCAATTTGATTTGTCTCGCTTAAGGTAGAAACGCCAGCTTAAAAGTGGGGCCAGCTTGTTACAGTGTGGTTACAACTACTTACACCCCAATGGGCTATGGTTCAGTTGAAAGGAGTCTAAATCGCCTAAGGGGCCTCTTTAGAAGTTTTGATACTGCTAAGCTCGTCTTAGAATCATAGTTCGAGGTCATGAGCACCAAAGACAGCTTGAAAATATTTGTTTCGACGCACATAACAGCAATTCACGGCGTCATTGTTGGAAGCAAGATCTCCAGAAGTAAATCCGAAAAGATATCTTCCCTGCTCAACAATTATGGCAGCTTTCTAAAATCATTTAATCTCAAGGATTTGTTTCACAAATACAAGGAGTAACAGAACAACCCTCCCTTGATAAATCTTGACCAAGATTTATAATGAAGGCAACGTTTTGATCATTTAAGCTCAATACAAATGGAGGAGATTGTTGCCAAAAATGACTCTGATGATAAACAAATTTTCGACCTCAAGACAAAAATATCAAGGAGCTACCGTCCATATCTTCCCAAAATCAAAGAGGACTTGGAAACTCGACTTATGCCCGTGATTACATTGAATGAGCAAGAAATGCTGCTAAAAATCTACGCCTGTGATAATTTAAATGAGTTCCTTGCTCTTCAAAAAGATTTCATTGATCAAAATCCCCCCCCCAACGATGAAAGCGATTATATTTTCAGGGCTGTATTTGGTGCTTGCTATCTTTGAAAATCCAATCAGTTAAGTCATACCGGACATCCTGAGGATTGGTTTAGAATCAATTTATACAGTTTCGTTTGGGATGGTTTATACTTGAAGGAAGATAAATTTGTCAGCAAAAGATCCGAATATCACTCCACAATCACCAAGGACTTGAATGAGCACATGAAAAATAAGGTTCCAAACCAAATTGTTGACTTTGCCCTACACTCAGAGAACTGCAACCTACATCTCTTGACTGTTGAAGAAAGGAGAAGCATTAAATGTGTCAGCAGTGACATTGGGAAAGGTAAACTGATGCAAGCCTAAGTCCTCGATGTGTGGAGACACAAATTTGGTACGAAAAGCATCTTATTCCAGGAAGTCTCTCGTGCCAGTGGAGAGCTAATGAAGTCACTGTTTATGGAAGCACGCTTCTGCCATCAGAAAAATATCTCTAGTATGTGAAAGGCTGCTACCAATTCCCCGTATCACCATCAAGTAGCACTGTATTTGTGAGGCTTCATGTTCATTATTCAGTTAAAACACCTAGTTTTACTTAACTATCAAAAGTTCAACTATACCTTGAAACGTATTGACAGACAGCAAGCCGAAGACCTCTGCACGCTTTAAGCACTGACGTTAGCTAATTATACCAGCTCATAGGATTCAGAGCAAAGTCTATTTAGCACCAGTGAGAAAATTAATAAGTCTGTATGTAACACCGAGCCGGATTCATGCGAAGATGTTCTAATTTAACTTTATTATATCAAGTTTGATGAGGATATAAAAACTTCAAAAATTTAAGTCATCCAGGAAACACATCAGTTTTATTGTGCGCTCTATTTTGAACATTCAGCCGAATTTTCCACTGTCTGAATTTAATTTTAAAAAAGTCACAATCTACTCTAATGTCCAATGACATTTGCCTATTCTGGTTCACCAACTCCTATCCAAATGTAAAAAAAAAAGTTTTTTTTTTTTTTTTTTTTTTGGGAAAAGCCATCCAACATACTCAATAGGTTAAAGAGTTTTTTTTCCCTGGCCCTTTCTTTTTCCTCTTTCTAGTTTTTTTTTTCAACAAAAAAAAGCATTAAATATTTGACCGTTTTTATTAACGTCAAAGTGGAATAGCCCATCATCTCTTTAGAAACCGTCTTTAAAACCCACTTCTCTTCTCTTTTTGTACTCGGACTAGTTGGTTGTTCTGAAGTACAGAGACCTTTTCGACCTCCGTAATAACTATTTTATTCTATAACAAACACACCTTGCCCACATCAGATATGGTTAACACAACAAACACAACCGCCGCCAATGCTATTCCTGCATCCGGTGAAAATTATTCAATCCAAGAAGGCGCTTTTGAGGGTCCTGAAAAGCTCTTAGAAATTTGGTTCTCTCCTTCAGCTGAACGATTGAGAGCTCATCAAAATCTGTCCTCGTCTGAAGAATCGTCAGATACGGATCTGGAAACAAGTGAACGAACCAATCGTAATACTAGAAGAAGAAGTTATGCTGCAGTGGAAGGAAAGACCGGTCTTCGTGTCATCCCTAAAGCTGTCTTGGATAAAATGTTGGCTTTAGTCAAGTGTACGGTTTTGAATGTCATTTCAAATGAATATGTGGATGCTTATGTATTGAGGTAAGAAAAAAAAAGTTCAAAATAAAAAATAGTGAAGTTTATTGACACTATTTATATAAAATCAGCGAATCATCCATGTTTGTGTACCCACACAAAATTATCTTGAAAACGTGCGGTACTACAACCCTACTTTTAGCGGTATCTCGACTTTTGGAAATTGCCAAGAGTTATTGTGGATTTGAAAAAGTTTGGAGAGTGTTTTATTCCAGAAAGTCATTCTTATTTCCTGAGCGTCAAGTCGGTCCTCATCGTTCATGGGAAGAAGAGGTTGCATTCTTGGATGGGTTTTTCGGTAAGTTAATCGAGATATGATTTATTTTAGCAGACTGAACCCTAATAGATATCACAAAAATTAGATGCTGGATCTTCTTACAAGATTGGTAAGGAGACCCAAGATCAATGGCATCTTTACTTGACCAAGCCTTCAGATGATGTTTTAAGTCACTCCGTCTCTTCTGTCGTCCCTCATCACTTGCGTGGTGTGATGCAAGAACATGAAATCCAAAGCGGAGCTTCTACACCCGTTACTTCTGATACTGAAGATCTCTCCCCTTTTGGTAACGCAGGCTATTCTTTCCCCGATCAAACTGTCGAAATCCATATGACGGGTCTTAACCAAGAAAACATGAAGAAATTCTATCACGATATCAAGCAAACACCCAGTGGTTCTATTGGTGGACAGTGGGTTGACAAAGAAACTGGTATTGACCAACTTTACCCCTTGGCTAATATTGATTCATACTTGTTTGAGCCATGTGGTTATTCCAGTAATGGATTATGGGAAGACCGTTATTTCACTTTTCATGTTACACCTGAAGATGAATGCTCTTACGCCTCTTTTGAAAGTAATATACCCGTAGAGAAGTCGCATGCAAACATGGGCGAACAAAGCCCCATTGAAGCTTTGATTACTCGTGTTTTAGACATTTTTGATCCATCTTCATTTACCGTCACTTATTTTACATCCCATCATAAGGAACATCATAGTCACAGCCAAATGGTCCGTTCTATGACTTTATTGAATGGCTATAAGCGTACAAACAGAATCTTGTATGAATTTGACGGTTATGATTTGGTTTACGGTCATTACGCTAAATAAAATTAATGGTGATACGAAACTCCCTTCTAATCTTTTGGTTTAAATTGGTTTGTGCAACATGTATTGTAAAAGATCCACTCCAATTTCTCCTCTTTCCGAACTTGTTGCCCTATTTAAACGAGCTTTCTTCTTTTTTTTTATCTTTTTATCTTTTGCTTTTTTTTACACAAAAAAAAAAAAAAAAAAAAAAAATCACAAACACATGCGTCTTGAATCAAAAGTAAAAATATCAAGGCTAGCGAAATATGCTGTCCTTGTTTATATCATGATTTCGTTATTCTATACAACAAATCATTATTTTGCATCCCATCATGCTATATCTTCCAACAATAGAAAAGAAGAATTTGATCAGCGTATAAATTCTCTTCCTTATCAGGAACTTTCACCACCCATCATTGTAGATAATAAAATCAACCAAAATAATAATGACATGCTTCAGTCAAACCAAGTGACATGGCCAGGTTCCAAAGGTAAAGTGAACCATTTACGTAAATAGATCGTCATATCTAAATATATACCCTTCAATTAAATTTCTAGGCAGCGACGAGATTCATGGTATCTCTGCAGACCTTATAAAATCTAAAATATTCTCAAGCAGTATGGGTTTAGATAATGTTACACCTTACTATTTCAAGGCTTCGGCCGAAATGAAATCTCAGGATATCACTTTGGCTACTCTGGTAACTCGTAATAGATTTCGAGTTCTTAGCCGACTAGCTTCAAACTACAAAGGTATGGTGTTTTAAACTGGGGGAAAGGATAATCAAATAAAAAACCGGAGTGCTAAAAAAGGGTTATATTTGTATTAGGGCCTATTTCTGCTGCGATTCATGTTCTAGACGACAATGAAAAGGTTGCAACCATCAAAGAATTGGGCAAGATCTATAATTCAAATCCAGATATGCAGAAATATGTCGACATTCATTTGATTATTGATAAATTTGATAGACAATTCAACATGTGGAGAAATACTGCAAAACTATTCACCCGTACAGATTATTTAATGATGCTTGATGTCGATTTCCATCTTTGCACGGACTTTAGAAAGTCGATCTTTGAAAATCCCGAAATTTCCAGGATGCTTCAATCAGGAAAAACTGCCATTGTGGTTCCTGCTTTTGAATACTTAAACCAAAAGGATGGTAATGATTGGCGTACGTTTCCCACTGACAAGAGTGGTGTTGTTGACCAAGTTAAAAAGATGAAGCTGGACTCTTTCCATAGTAGCTGGGTTAGTGGTCATGGTGCAACAAACTATGAGCATTGGTACACCGCAAATGAATTATACCGCGTTACTGACTATGAGTTCTCATATGAACCATATGTCATTTACAAAAAGGAAGGTACGCCTTGGTGTGACGAACGATTTATCGGCTACGGTGCAAACAAAGCTGCGTGTCTCTATGAAATATTTATTTCTGGCGTTGATTATTGGGTATTACCCAATGATTTCTTGATTCATCAATCACACAAATACGCCAACCATGATCGCACAAGAGAGGTAAACAATCAAAAAGGGGAATATGCTTAGGGAGCTCTGGTTACTAACTCTATATTTATTTATAGCGCACCCATAACAGAGTCTTGTATGACAACTTCAGAAATGAAACTTGTCTTCGCTATTCAAGAAAGTATGTAACAGAGGAAACTTGGTATACACCAGCAGCTGACAACATGAAGAAAGTCTGTACAGACATTCCAAAGTGGAAGTACTTATCTGGCATTTCTAAAGAACAAAGAGCAGCGGATTTATTAGCCGAGGCAGCCGCTAAGGAATCGGCAGCCGAAGAAACAACATTACCATTAGAAACAACAGAATCATTATTATCGTTAGAAGATGAAAATGAAAATGAAGAAATGACAGCAGTCATTTGATTAATTTATTAAATAAATCGTGTATATTTTTCTTTTATAAATAATGTGTATACTTTAATACATGTTTATTCAGGTTTAGTCATTAATAAACCTCTCTTAGTAGAACTTCTTTCCCTACGTATCTCCTTTTGTTGTTGCTTTTGGTCCTTCTTTTTGCTGCCGTGTATAATTTGGACATTGTCAGATAAGGCCACAATCATTGGGGTACTTTGAGAAGAGGTTACCGTAAAATTGGTGGTATCTTGCTTTGTGGTTTCCGTACGTTTGCGTGGTTTTTCTTCGCTCTCATCGATCACTGACATCATGGGTCGAAGTACAACATTTAACTGTGAGGCAGATCTCGATTCCAAACCTGGTCTATTTTTATGACGTTTATTTGTTGTGGTAGCCACTGAAGTTACACCATTTAACTTTTGTTGACTTTGTAATTCATTAAGACGAAGCAGACGAAGACGATAAAGGATCTGATCAATGGATAATTCAATCTGTAAATGATTCTTAATAATTGACATTTCTGTATAAAAAAACGGAAGCATGCGTCAGTATATGAATAGAATTCTATGGAATAAACTTACTTGGCCAAGTCGCTTGCTCGCCACGTTTGACACAATTCATGACGTATTCAGTGGTTGGATTCGAAAGTACCTTTAAGAAATCAGAATAACCTACTTCAGGTACAATAGTAATGTCTCCCGAGTATTTTTGAGACATGATGGATTGGATCTTATTAAAGAATGAGGGCATAACACCAAGCTCAGTCAATTGAGTACACCTGTGTTGTGCTTCGGTTTTAGCCATGTGCATACAAAATGTTGCGGCTCGTCTTAATTTAGAAGGTGCATTTGCTTTTTGAAGGAACGGAATAACATGTGGATTTACTTGACAAACGATGAAATGATTTACGTTAAATAGTTCAGAGAGCTTGTTCATTGGTAGGTCACTAAGATAAAATCATAAGCACGATGATGTAAATAATAGTTAAAATATCATACTTTTCTACTGAACCGTCAATATATAGTTGGTCTAATTGATTACATTAGTAGGTTTGAAACTTAATATATGGGATGACCTACCGCTAGGATTCCAAGGGGCTACTTTTCCATTTTTATCCTTAGAGTATAATGGAGTAGATCCATAGAATACAGGCACTGAACATGAGGCAGCACTATAAATAAAGAATTAATAAAACAGTAATATGTATGGCATGACATACGCTTACACAGCAGACCAAATCAACTGTTATGATGAAATAGTCAGTATAAATGGTTTCATAGTAACCAAAAAAAAAGGGGGGGGGGCTTACCACATCAGGCGCTGTTAAATAATTCAATAGTCGAGGCATATCATATAATGTGGACGAACTAACTGTGATATTTAAAATAAACCTCGTTCTATTGAAAGCTTCCTGAAATGTCATATCACCTAAGTTGGCTTTCATTGCTTCTTTGAGAATATCCACATCAAATAGTTGGCCATTCATCATCAAGCGATGAAGGCGGGTATAAGGAGAATCAGGTTCACCATTGCGTTCGAACACATCCAGTCTCACAAGTGACGGATCAAACATGGAAGGCAACTCGTCAATGGTTCTTGTACACACTAAAGAAGCCATAATACTGCCACTTGATGCTCCTGAAATAATACGTGGTAATAACTGATTTTCAAACAGACATTTGATAACACCGATATGGTTTAATCCTAGTGTTCCTCCTCCGCTTAATAACAATGCTGTTCTTCCAAAACTCTGTCGGATGTTCATGAAGAAGTCATGCTTGGTCTTTAGATCCAAATTAGGATCATTTTCTGGATCAGAGGGTTCGTCACATATCCAATTAAGCTGCTTCACAACTTCTTCAATATAGTCTGATGTTAATTTCTTTGTTCCCACACGCGAATATGAATAAAGCTTCAAAACAATAGGTCAACACGGGATTCTGTTTTTTGGGGGGTGCAAAATGAAAAAAAAGGGACGTACCTTTGGGTTGCCCATATCACCAATGTTTCTGGCAAGACTTGTCCTTAAAGCAAATATCATTGCGGATTGGCCTTTATTTAAATGTCTAATTTCTCTTAATTGATCTAATCTAGTTTTGATTAATTCCCAATCATAGTCAGGAGATTTTATTTCGCTTTTCCATTTGTCGAGTCCTAGTTTGCAATTGTTACTCAAAATATGTGTATGTGTATCTTCTATGATATTCTACCATCAATGTCGTCCAAGATAGCTGCTATCTTTGACCATTCTCCATAACTTTCTGATGACCTAAGCAGATTCTCATAGTATATTTTGGGGTTATTTGACACCAGTCGATCATATATATTCTATGTAATAGTTACAATTATAATACTTTTTTTTTTTTTTTGCATAATAAATTTGTATTACGATGGGCCAAAGAGATGTCAAGTCGAAAGATTCTGTAGTTACTTGTGCTGCTTCAGTGTTTGGATCGACATGATTAGTTTGCCTCTCTTTTGTTGCCATTCGTTTGTATAGTTAAGATAAAGAAATAAGCAAAAAGGGGAAGGGAGAGTTTTATTGGTGTAGTGTTTGATTTTCACGTGCTATTTACTTCAACCGTCTGGGGAAAAGATGCACCTGACATCAGTGACATATTGTTTGATTGCTGGTAAAAAAAAATGGATTATGCTTTACGTAAGTATTTTAAAGGCCTACAAACTGTGGTTTAAACCAGTCATAAGCTTCTAATATTGACTGTCTCAAACAGCTATGCCAAAAAATCGCATTATCCTATCGCTTAGCTTTCATTATATCCCAATGAAGAAGCCCTCTAAATAAAAAAAGCTTGTACATATTTCGCATCGAATTGGAAGATTGGCATCCAGGACATCTTAGCTTTAGCATTAGTTTGATTATTGCCGATAAACTTCTCGTTTATAAGCACAACTAGGTTTACATGTGATTTTCCTCAAGTATTTTCAAATTTCGATATTCTATGTTTTTGGGGATTTGTAAGTATAAGGGCCAGTATTACTAAGTAGTCAATGCATAAGGTAACATAAATGCCAAGTATTAAGGGGTAATTCAAATTAATTTTATCGCGCGATTGTGCCTACGTATAGTATCTGCATATTCTCTTTACTCTTCTGTTGAATATTTGCCAAGGCAGCTGAATTTAGTAAAAACATTTTCTGATACCTGTTTTTGGTATTTTTAAGTGGACACCACATGTTCCTGGCTAGCCGATCATTTCTTCCTCCTTTTTTTTACACTAATTCGATTTTGAATACATAATGACCTCTCAACAACTAAGACTTCAAAAGCTGATTTGTGTTGTACAAATAAAACTTATTGTTAAGACCTATAAAAATTGGCTTTATGCTGCATAAAGCACACAATTACGCAAAATTACTTTTTTTTTTTTACCGTAAACATAATGTATACTAAATGCCATCATGATTTAAGTAATCGGGTGTTTTTTTACAGCTTTATCCGCTATTGGTTTTCACAAAGTATTGACCACAAAGCTATTAAATGGCGTATTTTATAAGCTTCTGTAGAATTTTCAGTATTTCTGCGATAATCTAGGTTTCATGTGTAACGATATAAATGTTACTCCTCCATATGTATAAAATGCGGATTTGCAGCATGACAGCCTGATTCATATAACAGCTACAGAAATAATATCAAATTAATTTTTTCAATCAGTAATTACACCCAATTAATGTTGCACTAAAACATTTAAGTGACTTATGTATGGAAGCCCATTGTATACTCTTAAAAAAGCTCACATCCTCAGTAGCTGAATACACGGTAAAAGTAACCTCTTAATGAAACATGAAGTGTTTACAGAGCGGGTATTTTATTCTTTAGAAATTAAGTATAAATATGAGTGCGCAATAATGAGGCGACAACTGTTCTGACACTAGAATGGATGCCAATGGAGTACTGCACGTACAATCTTTTGTTACACTCAATATATCAGGATTCTGTTTTATTATAAATAGAAGTGTTAAGACTAAGGTTGGATACTCAGATGTAATTGTGTGGAACCGAGCTATACCTCTAGGAAGCTAAATTTATTTGAGGTAAGATCGATAAGGTCTGGTGAATTGAAGTACAAGAATTCTGAATTTGGTGATTGTCCGAAATTAGAAACTATAGATGGAGTAGGCGATTCTATCTCTTCTTGGTGGCAGTTATACAGTTTCAATTGTCTCATAAGTAAAATCACAGTGCCGGGACCGACCGGGAAGTGCGGGTTGGATCACCGAGGTCACGCCTAAACGGTCTTTTGATATTCACAAAAAGGTCGAGTAAGCATTGATCACAAAGAAAGAATAATCACGAGAAATTTTTGAGGTATGAAAAATGGACACGATAGTTTCCAAAAGAAATCTGTCACCATATTGGTGGGCATATTTAGCTCTTCCATATTTAAATATTTATAGATGTTTGTCGTTTATAAAATAAATAGGGAACATGTGCATATTATTAGAACAGTGTTTCATTTAGCATTTATAGATTTACATTTAAAGTAGACTCTAAAGGCTATAAATCCAATTAGATAACTTTTTAAAATACCAACCTAGCTTTTTGTTTATTTTAACTATTGCCCAAAGTTTTATGTGGGAAAGTAAATACAAGTTTTTGCGGTTTCTATTTTTATTCTCCGTTACATTGGCCTGGGTATGCTAATAAAAGCATTATCAGGGTCAAATACTCTAAAAATCTTGTTATAAACCTGCCAAAATTAACAGTGGTAAGACAGCCTCTATCGGATCGTAAACATTTTCTTGTCCATAAAAATGTCTTCTTGTACATCTTTATTTAAAAGTTTTACTCACTATGTTATGCTTTATTAAAAAAAAAGAGAAGGACAAAACCAGGTTTAGACAGGACTAACTGATTTAAATTCGTGATATTTACTTTTGAAACCATACATTTCTGTTCTTTGTTATCGAGGAAATGCCAAATTCTATGTTTGTCTGGATGATATTATGTAGTTGGCCATATTTATTTAAATTAGACGACGCTTTAGCAATTTTCGGCTTAATTGTCTTCTTCCGTGTCAATTGATGTACAAAGTTAGCATAAAAGTAAGCATTTTGTTTTTAAGATATTTATGCGTTTTACGACTAAATACAAAAAAATTTCGATGAATTACCGTGCACTGGTATCGAAACTAGCGATTTTTGTATTTAGATTGCCTGATATTATTATAACTTTTTGCCACCGACAATGATATCCCAATTTCACATCAGCAAATATGTCTTTTATGCTGCCTGTATCCGTCAAATCTCTCGTCACGCATGGCATGTTGAAATTTTTGGCGGCACGTCCTATTTAATCAATATGTTTTGCTTCAACTCTTCGTATCGAAATTAGCAACATGTTTATGAAAGTTTAATTTAAGTATTTATCATAAGTTTACAATTTTCTCAAAGTGCATACAAGCAAACCTAGTCCCAGTGTTTAATGACTCTCACTATCTATGCTCAGGAGATTATCATTGACCCTGTCAAATATATTTGTGCATATTTTAAACTGGTTAGAGTTATACACCAAAAGAGGTGAAAATTCAAATAAGTCCATACTTTACCAAATAATGTACTTTTTCGAAGTGGTTTCTTCATCTGTTTATATAATAAGCAATTTATGGTGCCGCATATTCAAGGTTGCTAATTTCACTTTTCTTTATAATAACCTATACCATAGTCTTTTTTTTTAAGCTTTAGAATTTCTATTTCAAGTGTCTCTAAAAGTAGGAGCATTGACACTTTAGCCTATGTTTTGTCAAAAGGAAGAGCCGAGCCCGCTCTGGTTTCTTTTGTGATTAATGTGCCACAAAAATATCAAAAATGGCATACTACTTTAAAAAGTAAAAATATATTCAATTAACAAATGTCCCAAAGTATAACAATGTTCGGAAATGTAAAAAAAGTTTCAATACACTAAAGACCAAAATGAAATTTGGCGTGGTATTTCAACCTTATTACAAGCCAGTAGACTTTTTTAGTATTATGTAAACTCTATTTTTTTATATTCTAAGTAATCTTTGTTTTAGATAATATGCAGTTACATTACTCTTTGCTTTACTAAAAATCGATGTCTGCTTTTGGAAAAAATCACGCTCACTTATAAAAATGAGGTGGGAAACCCATTACACAGAAGGGTTCCCTGCTCAAATATTTTATGAGCGCAGAGTTGCACAAAAATATCTGTGCGCCGTTTGTGCGTTATCATGCGATCATAGGGTTCCTTTGTACAAATTATTACTACTAACTGAAAACGTGGCCAGATCGCCAGAGATTGAAAAACAATCTCTTCCTTGTAACTTAGCTTAACTTGTACTACAGAACGACACTAGGGTTGTGTATATTATTATTATTCTTTTTGTTTTTATTTAGGAGATATCAATAAATCTATTGTAATTGAATATGTATAAAAAAAAAAGTGGCATAGTACATGGTATTGTGAAAGGGTAATAGACTAGCTAGTAAAGGGGGGTGTGAGAGAAAAATGGTTCATTTACAATAGAGGGTTAAGAGAAAAGGGCTGCTTTTTTATGGTTTTTCTTGAGAAATATTTCTGTTGGGTTAAACGCCATATTGTCTTTGGCGAAAAGAGCGGTTTTTCTTTCTTTTTTTTCTTTTTTTTTTTTTTTTTTTTTGGTCATGATTTTTAATTTTTCGAGATGGGGGGTTTTTTTTCTTTTTTGATAAATCTAACGTTTTGTGGAGCTTAATGATCTATAATAAACATGATATTAATTTTAATATCCTTTTTTCCTCTAAAACCATTACTTACGACTTGAACGACTACAGTCTGGACACCAACTTGTCTCAAAGTATCGTCGATGAATTAGACAATAGCTCTTTCCCCGACCTGAACAAACATTAGGTCCTGCTGTTTGATTTTTGGTTGATTTACTGTTTGATTTAGTAATGAATTGACAGAAGCGGATACCCATTTTATTATGTATGTCTGTGTTTATAATTAAGAATAATGCCGAGGCTAAAATAAAGTAGAAGAGAGGGAGAAAAGAAGCAAAAGATTTTAAAGGCTATTTATACAAAGGGAATTAAGTGGCTTTTTAAAAAAAAAAAGGGTAAGCTATATACACTTTCGATCTTTGGAAAACAGATGTTTCACATTCCACAAGCATATCATGGTGTGAAAGAAGGACAAAGTTCTTAGTTCCAAAAGTATTTTGAATAGAACACAAAATCACAAGCTTGATCATGGGAATAAAAAAATGCTGGCTGTAAATGTTTTGGTTTATTGAAGTTTACATTATGATAATTCACCTTTAAACAAATGTATATGTAAACTAAATATCTGGAATTGTAACGACCACTGGTCCCGACCCCCTGCGTTTAGTCTTCTTTTTTATATTTTAACCTCGCACTTGTACGTCGTTTTCTAAAAGAATACGACCCGTGATAATTATTGCATGTTACATTTATTTACAAACTCTGCCATGATTTCCATTACGATAGCCATTTAGTACTGACCCTGTGTTCACAAGAAATCTACTGGGTGAGCGGGAAAGATGATAAAATGTAAGTTCAAAAGTAAGGTAAAAATTATGTCTGTAATTAATTATAAATGGCTCGAGCGTTTTTTGTTTACATCTACTATTGTGCCTAGAGCTCACCATTCGATCATTTTGCAGGCATATTTTTTGTCGCTAAACACTCCGCCATTGTTTTACAGACAAAAGCTGGAGTACGCGGAGTTTGTCATGTTACAACAATATAAAGACTTAATCAATAGACACTGATTTCAAAGGGAAGAACTTACAGAAAGAACACATAATAATTTATACATCTCTTACAATACGTTACACTACTCAAAAATTTTGCAATCCTTTCAATTTACTACCACCTGAAAAACACCGCGCTTTAGCCTTTCTAAGCAGTCGTCCCATGATAACTGTTTTAATTTACCGTGGTATGGTTTCCGAGTTCGGGATCCATTTATGGTTGATACTGTTATAATTAGTTTTTTTTTTCTTCTTTTTTTTTTCGTAAATATGATTCCTATTGTTGCTTTCTTATTCTACTGTATACATCGTGGAACATGTGCCATTAATTTCATCACCTCATATTGTAAACACAAACAAAAAAAAAGTTGACTGAATAGTTACTGCTTCTTACTGTAACAGGCGTAAATAATAAAATATTTGTACTTCAAGCAATAGCAAAAAACTTATGAATATTTCACTATTTAAATATAGACGTGCTGTGTATAACGAACATCTATTTTATTATTACCGGTCCCAAGAAAGGAAAGCCCCTATTATTTTTGTGTGCTACATGATTGTGCACAAGTATCAGATATCACTTAAATTCCTTACATGGATCTTTTTGTCACTCACCTGATAGTTGATCTCAAATGTCGAGATAACTGAAAAAAACAGGAGATTTTTTTGTCCAGCAGACTTGATTTTCTATGTCGATCTACTTTTGGGTTATCTGTTGAAGATAGTCATCAGTGATGTCTATCTAAAAATTCCCATTTTCCCACCCCATATGATATTTTCCTTTTACTTTTTAATCCGTGCACTCGTTACATATGATTATGCAGATATGTGTGATCTGTCCCCTTTCAAGCCACCTTTAATAAGTGTCGCGGAGTATTATGTTACGGTTTACCATTGATATAATAGCAAGCGACGTAGCTATAATCAATAACAACAGTTGGTCACTAAAGTGCTTTTAGTCCCAAGAATTTTTCGAACTTTACCGAGATTATGTAAATATTACGAGATTCTCATAGAAGATACCATCTGATTGAGGCTTTCCATTTACCAATTATAGATTTTAAAATCAGTCCTTTTTATAAATTACTAATCCGTTGAAGTGAAATGCTGTGACAGGTGTGATTATATTACGTTAAGCTGTGCAAGTATATATGAACTTTTGGAAGCACTGCCGATATATTTACATGCGATAGAAGGTAAAGTGGCCTAGATCATTGTAATATGTATGTTATCAGAAAGAATCATGTTTGTTTGTTTAGATAAATAATTACGCCGTTGAGTATATCCTTGAGAGAATCAGCTGCCTAATTATTTTATCTGGAACATCCTCTATAAAATTGTCAAATTGAAGTTGATAGGATCCAGCAAAAAAACATGAACGCACAATCTAATCGTAGTCTCTTTTTCTACCAGACATTGTGCTTGTCAAGGGAAAAGCCTATTTGAACCACGTTTAAGGGTACAAAGTGGAAATTTTCACTCACATGAAAGTACCAAATCGAAGTTTTAATTCATATGATATCACACCTGTGACATACATGTTAATTTATGAGGCGAGATTTTTATTTTTCGTGCATTACTTAAGAAAATAAAAAATCCCATTCTTTCTTGGAAAAAAAGCGTGACCAGTGAATTAACAAACAAACAAACTTCATACTTTCTAAATCGGGTAATCATTTTTATGAAAATAGGATACCGTAAACTAATTACTTACCATCAGTATAGTAGGTAGTAATAAGTCTTCTGTTATGTCTGAATTTGTGTTTAACAATAAAGTAGGATGCATAAAACTTGTATTTGTTGATAAGAATCACCTTTAACGATTGGATCTTTAAGTTTTATTGCTATTTAATTGATGAATTAAGGCAGAAGATGAGATACGCCTTATTTTTTTTCTAGTAAGCAAATTTTTTCTTCCTTATATCTTTCAAATTTGCTATGTGGGATTGATACCAAACTACAGATCTTTTCCAAACAAACGTCGACACCAAGGGCGGGCATGTATCATATTTTCATTTATATAGCGTGTGTGAAGGAGAGAGACCTGACCTTTAATGAGCTGCCTTCTCTATGAACAAAAGAAACTTCTTATCGGACACAAAACCTTCCATCACCGCCCTTCCAAACTGCATGGATCTGACTTGACTTTCTTTTAGAGCTCCCATATGAATAACCTCTTTTTCCAAAGTAGATAACGACCTTATTGAGCCTCTTCCTTTGAACTTTAAGACAACATCCCTATATTTTAGGAGTCCAATAATCATATCGAGTTTGGGACATCGTTGCAGTACAAATCAAAAACATCGATCTCTGTTGTAACTCTTGAAGATATAATCTAGCAGTGCCATAATAAGTGAATACTATGTAATCCGACATTACTATCATATCCCTCTTTTCAGAGTTTGCTGTGAGGTTATTTGTATTGCTGATGCTCTTTTTTCTTCAACGAATTTTTGGATTACAGAGGCGATGGATGATCTTAATCAGTTCAAATAGATGTATGGAAGTTGATCATTTTGTACTAAAACTGTATCATCATTTGACATACATTATGTTGAAAATAGTCCAAAAGAAAAAAGGATAAAAGTGTGTTGACAGATATAAATTATCGAAACTAAAATTAAAGGTATATATTAAGAAGCAAAAGCTATAGACAAAATCTACAAGCGTTTCATTTTTACAAGCTAGAAATATAATACGTCGACATCTATTGGCGTGAAGACAACTGATAACAAGCAAAGGAAATATGGCCCGCCTCTACCCCTTGATATTAGCTCTAATACTAACCAAAAAACTATCACAGCTTTTGACGAGGGAAGCTTCTATTTCATGTGAAGAGAAATAGAGCTGAATGCCAACAAAACTAATTTTAAAAGCTCGTCAGAAATCCAAATAATCAAATATCAGTGTGTCCTGTCGATGAAGATCTAACAAGCCAAATCTATAGCAGAAGCAAAAAGAGGAATATTATTAATGTTATAGACAAGGAAGCAAAATGAAGAGTACACTCCGTATTGCGGTGTCAAATCATCACTTGAAATATTCTTTGGCTGATGCCTTTTTTTTTCTATAAAAATCAATTACAACCACCCGCTCTCGTATCAACGTCAATTTGAAGCCTAAAAAAACTAAACAACATCGTATGATTAATATAACAATTTTATATACATTTACATGTAAGTCGAAATCATAATTTGATTTATCCAAAAAAAAAAAAAAAAAAAAAAAAACTGTAATTGTAGACATATCATCAATGGTACATCAAAAATCCAGTCAAGGGATACAAATATTTAAAATGCAGTAACCGTTGTGTTAGCATGCAATGACAATTTCGCGCACATCCTGGCGGCTAGTATTATAATAACGCTTGAGACTATTTTATAATTATGAGAAAATTTTATAATCCCTTTAACCCAAGCCCTTATAAAGTGATCATGTTTGCATACAATCGGCCGCTGTATTTCAATTCAGTGACTTTAGGAGGACCATTCTGCCAATCTAAACTATCTTTATCCTGTGAGTACTCGCCTTTATATCCTAAATCGAGTTGATATTTTAAACTACCCTAATATTTATAGAGTAATTTGGATCTTCCAATTTCGTTTTTTTTTTTTTTTTAGGTGTGCCATATCGAATAAATATGTAGCCACTTGGCTCTTTTTTTTCTGTTAATTTAGTCTTTAAAAAATGTGTACGAATACGTCATTATGATAAATTGGTGATCTTTATAAATAAAATTGAGTCAGATCAGCTTTTATGGTGCAAACTTAAGGCATTATATTGGTTTTATGTCTCAGTTACGTAAACGATAATAGTATATATATGTTGATGGATCATGCACTTCATACGTATGACAGAAGCTGCTGTTATACGTTCCAGGGGAGAAAGAAACCCCGAGACCAATCATGAAGCTTTATATATTGAGTCACCGTTGACTTGAGTCCTTTGTGGTCGGATCTAGAAATTGACAGGCGAAGAACAGCACTGAGTCACCAGGTGGATTGGCAGAATTTAACTAAGATTAACCAATAGTATAAACCCATTCATTGAGTCAGGATAAATGCAAATATTGCTTTATAAAAAACTTAATGTACAACTATTCTTTTCTTTAACTTGTTCTTACATTTTTTTTTCTATACATATAACTTTCTTTTTGTTAAATACCCTCCCACTTAAACAAATATTTTATCAAGAAATTATCTAAATATGTCACGTACTCTCTATGATAAAGTTTGGGATGATCATGTCATTGATCAACAAGAAGATGGTACATGCTTAATTTATATCGATAGACATCTCGTACATGAGGTTACTAGTCCTCAAGCCTTTGAAGGTCTTCGTAACGCTGGTCGTCCCGTTCGTCGTCCTGACTGCACTCTTGCTACTGTCGATCATAACATTCCCACGAGTACACGTAAAAACTTTAAAAATATTACAACTTTTATCAAGGAAGCCGATTCAAGAACTCAGTGTGAAACTCTTGAACAAAATATCGAAGCTTTCGGTCTTACTTACTTTGGTATGGAGGATAGCCGTCAAGGTATTGTACATGTGATTGGTCCTGAGCAAGGTTTTACCCTTCCCGCAACTACCGTTGTTTGTGGTGATTCTCACACCTCTACTCACGGTGCATTCGGTGCTCTTGCTTTTGGTATTGGAACTTCTGAGGTTGAGCACGTACTTGCTACTCAAACCCTTCTTCAAAAGAAGTCAAAAAACATGAGAGTCCGCGTTCAGGGTGAAGCTCTTCCCGGTGTCACGTCTAAAGACATTGTGCTTCATATTATTGGTATTATTGGAACTGCTGGTGGAACTGGTTGCGTTATTGAATTCTGTGGTGATACTATTGCTGCTCTCTCAATGGAGTCTAGAATGTCGATCTGTAATATGTCAATTGAAGCCGGTGCTCGTGCTGGTATGGTTGCTCCAGATGATATCACATTTGAGTATCTCCGTGGTAAACCTCTTGCTCCTAAAGGCGAAGATTGGGATAACGCTGTCAATTACTGGAGATCACTTTCGTCCGATCCTGATGCCAAGTACGATATCAATGTTGAGATAAATGCAAGTGACATTGCTCCTACTCTTACTTGGGGTACTAGTCCTCAAGATGTAGTTGCCATTACTGGTTCCACTCCTGATCCTGCAAAAATTGATGATCCTATCCGTCGCTCTGCTGTTGAGCGTGCTCTTGATTATATTGGTATTGCTCCTAATACTCCTATGGAAGGTGTTAAGGTTGATAAGGTATTTATCGGTAGCTGTACCAATTCTCGTATTGAGGATCTTCGTGCTGCTGCGGCTGTTGTTAAGGGTAAGCGTGCTGCTGAATGGGTCTATGCTATGGTTGTTCCTGGCTCAGGTTTGGTTAAGCGTCAGGCTGAGCGCGAAGGTTTAGATAAGATTTTCACAGATGCTGGTTTCGATTGGAGAGAAGCTGGTTGCTCAATGTGTCTTGGTATGAACCCTGATCAACTCAAGCCTGGGGAGCGATGTGCCTCTACTTCTAATCGTAATTTTGAAGGTCGACAAGGTGCTGGTGGTCGTACCCATCTTGTGAGTCCCGCTATGGCTGCTGCTGCCGGTATTAAAGGTTGTCTTACTGATGTTCGTAATATGGAAATTTCTGATATTCCCGGTACACCAAAGCAAAGTCCACGCCAGGAAGTTCAGGCCGAATTTGAAACTGAAGACGAAAAATCTCCTTCTGTTGCCACACCTATGATTGCCACTGGTGCAGCTGCTGGTATGCCCAAATTTACTACTCTCAAGGGTTATGCCGCACCCCTCGAAATTTCCAACGTGGATACTGATATGATTATTCCTAAGCAATTTCTCAAGACTATTAAGCGTACTGGCCTTGGTAGTGCACTTTTCTACGCTCTTCGTTTTGACTCTGCCACTGGTGAGGAAAATCCTGACTTTGTTCTCAACCAGGAACCCTATCGTCAAGCTCATATTTTGGTCTGTACCGGTCCTAATTTTGGTTGCGGTAGCTCTCGTGAACATGCTCCTTGGGCTTTTAATGACTTTGGTATTCGCTGTATTCTCGCTCCAAGCTTTGCTGATATTTTCTACAACAATTGTTTCAAAAATGGTATGCTTCCTATCGTTCTTCCTCAAGATCAGCTTGAAGCTATTGCTGCAGAGGCTAAGAAGGGATGTGAGGTTGAGGTTGACCTTATTAACCAAGTTGTCCGTTATCCCGGTGGTGAACTTCCTTTCGAAGTTGAAGCTTTCCGTAAGCACTGTCTCGTAAATGGTTTTGATGATATCGGATTGACAATGCAAAAGGCCGACAAAATTGCTGAATTTGAAATTAAGCGTACCAGAACATGGCCCTGGTTGGATGGCAAAGGTTATAAGGGTAAAGCCACCAAGGTAACCGTCAATGGTGGACAGAAAAAGGCCAAGCTTGATTGGTAAATAATAAATTTGTAGAAATACTCCTTTTTCCCTTCTTTTTTTCTATCTTCTCTGTATAATATCACTTTGCACAAAGTCTCTCATAATATATTTCATAATCTCCATTGTCTCATAGTCTATCTTTTAACTTTTATAATAAAATTCAACACTATTACATAATTTTTACTTTCTATATACTTCCGTTTAACTATGTACTTTTAGATTCTATTATATAATGTTTTGATTTGAGATAGACGATGTATTAAAGTATTGTGTCAAATCATTTCCGAATTGTTTATTACATTTATCAATGTGAAACGCGAGTTGTGAAACAGCAAGACCGGCTGTTCAATGTAAATATGCCAAGAAAAGCAAGTTCAAGTATAGAACCTTAAATGATATTTATGAGAATGATAAACAAATTGTGGAAATGGGGCTTGATGTTATTTTACACACAAAAAAAGAGTGGGGTCTTTTTTTTTATTTATTTAAGGTAATGTTGGACAGAGGTATACAGATTATAATTTTTTTTTACATCATGAACAGTGACAGATTTATAGTGTCTGTTATAAGTTGAAGGAATAGACACTTTACTCAGTTTGCCAAAGAGAATGGGCAACAGAAGGCTGCCATGTGGGGTTAGTGGTATGATCTTGAAGACACACATAGACTTGACCGTGGTACTTAACACGATCACCGGCAGCATAGGTGCCAACAGGGTCCCACTTCTCGGCACTTTCGTCATCATCATCGTTGGAAGAGCTGCTGTTGCGACGCTCGTAGCTATGATCACCATCACATTCCTCACCATCATGTTCATGACGACGGCTCTCTCTTTCACAGTCCTCTTCTTCGTTGGCTTCTTCTTCGTTGGCTTCTTCCTCGTTGGCTTCTTCTTCTAATCTTTCAGCCTTTTCCCTTTCAAAGCGCTCACGCTCTTGCTCAAACTCCTCGCGTTCTTGTTGAAGTTTCTCCTCTTCTTCGCGTCTGGCAGCATCTTCCTCTTCTTGGAGACGTTGTGCTTCCTCTTCTTGGAGACGTTGAGCCTCTTCTTCTTCTTGTTGATCGTCATAAAGCTTCTTGGCAAGGAAACCAGCACCAATTGCAAGACCAACACCAAGGAGACCTCCAGCAACTGTCACGCCAGTAGCTTTCTTCTCAGAAGACTTCATACGAGCACAATGACCATCGTGGACGTAACTTTGACCTTGAACAGGCTCACAGTTAAAGTCAGGAGTACGAGAGTTAGGGAATCCTTGAGCAGCTAACTGCAAATTAACAAAACCAGCACGTTCACCCTTAGTATCAAAGAGTTCGAAGAGACCATTTAAGTATGCTCCTTCAGCATAAACGACCTGGTTAATGGGAATAGCAGCAAAACCAATGACTTCATCAACGGAAGACTCCTCATCGAGAATTTCAACAAAGAGATCAGGTTCTCCATTTAAAGGTACGGTAAAGGTTTGGTCCCAAGTAGGGGTCTCGCCAGCGTTCTTGTGAGTGAATGTTTTTAAGAAGCTATCCTTATCTTCATAGTTCAATGCAAATTGGAAGAAAGGATCTTGCTTGCCAAACGTTTGGACAGAAATAAGTTCAGTGGCGGAGCGGACATGAATAGAAAGAGAGGTTTCGGATTCGCTGAGCATATTGATTCAAGAAAAAATATATAAAATTATACAGAAACTCTAAATGCCCAAGATTACAGACCTTATTTATATAAATTTTAAGACGATCTTTTCAAAACCCGACATTTTTATTTCATTTCTAAAATAAGCTCAATTCCCGCACATCTTTTTGCTCGTGTTCACGTGTAACTTTCCCAACAGGTAACTGCTAGTGAAACCTCCCAGCGCGTAATTCTTTAGATGTACTTCAAGAAGTTTTTTAACTCATGTCAACACCTGCATGGCATCTTTTATTTACATTATGCAGTAAAAAAAACAGTAAAGATGACTTATATACACTTGGAACTAATTTTTATTTTTGAAATCTAAGCAGGTGACATCACGCTCTATGTGCCCTAGCAGTTTGTTAAATGGCATATTTTATTTTGATTTATTTGAATATTAAGTCTTTGCCTTATTCAATAATCGAAGCATCTGATCCATTGAAATGCCGTAAAATAACGATACGCGTACTTTTATATTTTCTTAATTTAAATTGCCAAAAAAAACTGATAATAGGGCAATGTCTTAATAGGATTTCACCCGGTACCTTTATGAAAGAGCAAAATTGAAAGTGGGTTTTGTGTCACATTTCGGAAGATGTTTTAAATTTAGAAATAATTTGCCCTGAATAACCAAGAATTCCTTTGCGTCTTGTCTTTTCGAATCATCCGGCCAAGGTGGCGCTAATTTTATACGTCGCACTTGTATTGGCTTCTTGCTCAGGAACAACATTTCTGATGAGCAAATACAAAGCTCAGACATTTTACGTGGTTTCGCCAACCTTCTGCACAGAGATTTGGATACATATTATCAACAATAAGATATGCCGATAATTCATTATAGGTGCTTTATAAATATCTAAAAGCCAGTAAGATTGAATGTATTCGGAGTCAAGAAAGTTTAAAAGTCAATGGTTTACCAATGATAGCTTTAAATAGCTTAGCCCAGTCCATATTTTAAGCTATTAGTGGCTGGGTGGATATTCAAGGGGAAAATTCCCTTCTTATGATTGTGGCGGAATTGTAACTCCACGGTCGGGGGAAAAAAGAGGGACGGGAATAATCCGAGTGTAAAGTCTGTCCAAGGGGTAAATGATAACCACAGTTATCTATCCGATTTTTTTCAAATGAACTGCAACTATATGAGGATATACGGAAAGCAGTTGAAATAAAAAAGTTGTTAATGCCTTCTTGTAATACAAAATTACTTTATTCATATCAACTAAACTAAATTTAGTGCATAAATCAGAGTAGTATTACACCTAAAAAATTGTCTCTTCAATATAAGAATGACCAAAAATATCGAGCTTTAAAGACTCGAAATATTCCATGGGTGCGTAGTAAATACAGTGAGAACACTGAGAACAGTACTGATAATTTACCAGGGACTAGTCAGACCCCTCAAACTAGAAGTTGTTTTCTCGACTCGTCAACAAATTCCAATCATTATCTTGTCATTCAGATATATCGTCAATGATATCTTCAGTACAAATTGAAGTATTCCCGTCAAGTATAATTTTATTAAGTTCCCGGTTGAGAAAGCTCCATGCGGAAATCAAAAGTATAAATTGAATAGAAACTTAAAAAAAGTGTTTTATCAATCTACGAGTCCAATGATAAAAAAATCGAATTTAGGTATTTTTGAGTTTCTATCACGCAGTCGATCATGGCACTACTGCCTGATATAAGTATCTCGTTTTCACTTGGTCTGTTCCAATACAAATTACTTAGACCTTCTATATAATTTAGAGCATCTTGCTCGAGTATTTAGCTTCATGGGGTTGGTTTTTGCCCCTTTCGTTTGCATAAGATTTATTTTAGTTTTTAGTGTTTCGTTGTTTTGACTAGCATTTGGCCGCTTGAAATACGGAATTATAAAATAAACAATAAAAAAATCATCATCTGATCAATTTAAATAAATTTATTGGTAAGAATGACAGTCATTTATAATTTCACGTACATCTTGCATAATATGTGTACTTTTAAATTGCAAAAAAAAAGCAGGTCATCAAACTTTGTATATTATTAAAACAAAGTTTATGTTTACGTAATTAAATTTGGGGGCAAGTCATAATACAGACGTACACAAACGCATGTTTGCAAATGATGTGCAGTAATACTGGTGTGTCAAAAATAAAGTTATCGGCATTATTTCCATAAACATCACTCATTTGCTTATTAACAAATATTTACATCGAATCTCGTATGTGAAAATTATAACAATATATAATATTTATATGTTCTACGGTTTTCATTATGAATTAGCTCGCATTACTCTCTACCGTCATTTAAAAGAGGGTAGCTATTTTCAAAAATCAAAGCATATCGCTATTATAATCAGATGTTTAAATTTAGTTTAAATAGACTAGAATATATCTACAAAGATGATAAAAATTATAAGAAAGCAGACATAATTGCTGTGGATATTCATCTTTTACAAGCTTTTACATTATATTTTGCAGATTTGGATAAAATTTGAAAAGCAAATATATAAGTACAATGAATACCCCATAATATATGTTATGAGCACATGTTCATTTAGAAGGGAAAAGTAAACCTTTGCAATGAAATAGAAGATTATGATATTTGGCTTCACGAATTAATTTTTTAAAACGAGGAGCAAAACGTTAACAAGGTATCTTG